ACACGTGTCATTTCCAGCTGAAAAAGCCACCTCTGTCAAGGCCAGCGAGCACAACCCGGGCCACAGGGCACGTGCCAGACACAGGTCATGCACGAGTATTCAGATGGAAGCTGGTGGCCAGCTGGAGACACAGTTAAGAAACATTTATAAAGTTGGTTTGAAATATTTACATTGTACCCCAGGGGGAGAATGTGACAGGAGTAGAGAAGGAATAAATAATATCAAACGAAATACCTTGCAGAGGATTCTGAAAAATTAATACAGGTAGCGGGCTAATCTCTAGCTGGTGTATTGCTCCGCTGTACGCCAGCCAAGGGGCTGGCTCGATATTCTTTACCAAATATTGTTTAAAAGTACGACAATCATCGCTATCATATTCAGCAGCAGCTCCCGCAGGTCTCTGAGGTTTTTCTACCGACAGTTTCCAGTGTAAATGTAGCTGTTGGCATACAAATGATTCCGTATGATGATTATTGATTACACTGGAGGCTGGTGGTATCTGAAGGTAGTTAGTCAAAGTCAACACAGTGAATTGTGTTAAATATGAATATTACTTGGGCACTAATACTACTAATACAAATACCCATTATCAATCAGTGACAGAGCCTTTAAGCAATAAGCATACAATGTCGGGCCTAATTTGTGTGCTCTTAATTGTGATTAAAAGTTTAAATTAGAGTATTGTGACACCAATGGCTGGCATTCCTCACTAGAACTTGGTTGAAAATACTGGAATTAGCTCTTGTATCCCTTAATTGCTAGTAAACTTTTTTGTCTCCTTCCACTTCAGACAACTCCTCCTCTGACTATAATCCACCTTTTCGGCTCCAGCCACTTTGGAGACAGCATTTCATCGGCCTGATGCTGAAGGCCTGGGACTGGGTGAGGACTTGCTTCGAAGTTTCCCCATAATGCACGTTAGTTGAGCATCGTAACTACTCACTGACAGGTTTGTTGATGTCTTTTGAAAACAGAGCTTGAAAATCATCTTGGAAAACCAACCTGCCAATTTACTATCCCTTGTACTTGCCAGACCTAACTGCAGCTTGATATGAAACTGGTGTTTGGAGTCACTAATTCTGTCGGCCGAACTAATGGGACTTGGGGAACGCAGCTAAATAAGGCCAAGAGAACTCATGCACATTAAATATTACTACCTGCTGAAACTTATTTGGCATGCAATGAACATTAAGGGCTGACTAGAAGGGGAGATGCAACAACACATCGGGTGAGACGCAGCGAGACGGGGGGAATGAGCTTGTGCCTGTGCTGGGCCCAAGGCTGCGTCCCCGGACACGGGCACTAAAGGCGCCGGAGCGGCTCCCGCAGCATCGCTCAGCGCAACACGTGCAGTTCTGCGCCGCAATGTGGTGTCGGTTAAGTGGCTGCAAAGCCCTTCTCATTTTTCTCTGCTCGTATTGGCAGCTGACTCTGCGTCTGGGATGCCTGCAAGGTCCTTGGGGAGTCTGTACTCTGGTTTGTAGGGCAGACGAAAAAACAGATGAGGCCAAAACGCAGCTGAACTTGTGATGACTACCACTGCAGTTGTGCCGGGAGGTTAACGCTGCACCTGGGCCGACACCGAGTCCCAGAGGCATACACATCTCTGCATACATCAAACTCGGAACGATCCTCCCTAAAAGTTCAAGAACCGTCTTGAAAATGTACAGGGAAGTTTTGCTGCAGAACTCCCAATCTAATTAGAAAAAAAAAAAAATCTGTTTCACCTTAGGGAAAAAGGTAGGTTTCATCAGACAAATGGCTTGCTAAACGCGGGGAGAGTTAAAACACTAGTGTTTTAAAAATGGTAGTCCTGGAGCAATACAGATAATTATGCATAAGAAAATATGTGTTGAAAATGTGGGAGTTAATGAAACAGAACTCTTCATATGTAGCCTCACAAACACTTGCAAATTATTATTTTTTTTTTTTATAATTAGTTTTTAGATTACCTGGGAATGAAAACAGCAAGGACAACACTCGACAGTGACAGAGATGCTGAAAAGACTTAATTCTGTTTAGGACTGCGGAAAACCCAAAGCTGTATAAATGCACCCATCTTCAGCCAGAGCAGCAAGCCCGTACTGGACAAGAAGCCCATGTCCTACTGGGTAAAAGGGACCAGGGATGGTGCCTTGCAGCTCCTCCGACGTCCTTTACCCCTGATGGAGAGTTAAGCTACTAATCCGAGCTGCAGAAAACTCTACAGCAGATGCCAAACCAATTTAAAGATGGCCAAGCCCTACAGTTCAGATCCAAGTCTACACCTCAGTCACTGCTCTCCCAGTACTCGGTATAAGCCTGGCTCTAAGTCTGCCTTGCCTTTCAATCAGGGACTCAGCTATTGAAGTGGCATAAATTCATTGACTTCTCCAACACTTGCAACAGCCAAGACTTTGGACTCTATCTTCTTTCTGGAAGCTGGCCTCATTTTTTCCAGTTTCTCGGATTGTCCATTCCTACTGTAAGCTTCTGCACTAGTGTTTGGGTCCTTGCTTTGTCCATGGTGTATTTATAAATGCTTTGTAAAGGGTTATTAACTGAACAATTGATGGTTCAATAAATCATCAATCCATCGCTACTGAGGCTGAAGGACCTAAAGTTTGTTTACAGCCACGACTTAAAACGTTCTCCATCACCTTCTACTGTTCTGCTAAGAAAGATTTTCTATCTTCTATCTATTTTCACTGGCAACCTCTCTCCTCACCCCTCCCGAGTCGATGGATGGCATGAGGGGCACCGGGAGGGCAAAACCCCTCCTGCTGTAGGAGAAGACCAGGTTCGTGATCACCTGAGGAACCTGAATGCACACAAGTCCATGGGACCTGATGAGATGCATCCCAGAGTCCTGAGAGAACTGGCCGATGAAGTCGCCAAGCCA